ATGCTCAGGAAAAGAAATGACCAAAACCTACACAAATTCCTGCCCTTACAGAGCCTTCATTTTAGCAAACACAGACAGTAAACATAATACATAAATCAATATATTATATCCCCTTGTAGTAGATGCTATGAAAAATAGGAAATTAAAGCAGGGTAATGAGTAAAGAGGTTCAGGACTATAGGGGCTGGCAGGGGAGGGTTGTGTGTGCACTTGCGATTTTAAATAGGGCTGCCATTTGAACAAAGACCTGAGGCAGGTAAGACTATGAGCATGTGTATATCTAGGGAAGAGCGTCACAGGCAGAGAGAACAACCTGTGCAAAGGCCAAAAGGCAGGAGCATGCCCAGCATATTTAAGGAACAGCAAAGAGGCCAGTGGGGCTGAAGCAAAATGTATGAAGGGAAAATAGCAGTAGATCAGAGAGGTACAGAGAGGCAAGGTCAAGATCATGTAAGGCTTTGTAGGTCACTGAAAAGGACATTGGCTTGAATCTGAGTGAAATAGGAATCACGGCAAGATGTTGACTTTTTAAGAAGGATCTTTTTGGATGTTGTGTTTAGACTGAGTAGGGCAAGGATAGAAGCTAAGACACTAGTTATGAGACTATGCCAGAACCCAAGCAAGAGATGATGTGGCTTGGGCCATGGGTTGGTCAGCAGAGGTGGTGAAAAGTAATTCGATTCTGTATATATTTTGAAAGTAAAGTTCAACAGGATTCCATGATAGCTTGGATGTGGAACGTTAGAGAAAAAGCAATCAAGGTTTTGGCCTGAGAAACTAGAAAGATGAAATTGCTATCAATTGAGTTGTAAAAGGCTGCAGGAAGAGCACGTTTGTGGGGAATATCGGGATTTGGGTTTTGAATATATGGAGTTTGAAATGACTATTAGACACTTGATCGGCAATGTCGGGTTGGTTGTTGATCATGCATATGCGGGGCTTATGAGAATATGTTGAGTATATCTGGGCTAAAGATGGAGTCCTCAGCATGTTGGTATTAAAATCTGTCAGGCTGAGTAAGATTATCAAGTGAATGGGTATAGATAAAGTAGAGAAGAAGATAAGGACTCAACCCCAGGGGTCTCCAGCATTAAGAGGTCAAGAAGGAAAAAAAGAAACCATCGAGAAGGAATGACCATTGAAGTAGGAGGAAAACTAGAAGGGTGTGTGTCCTACAAACCAAGAGAAGGACGTGTATCAAGTAGAGGGAAGTGGAAAACAGTGTGGAATGCTGCTGATAGGTCAAAAAGATGAAGACTGAAAATTTACCATTGAATTTCACAACTAGAGATCATCGGTAACCTTAACAAGAACATATTTGGTGGAGTGGTGATGATTAAAGTCTGGCTTAAGTAGCTTTAGAGAGAATGGTAGAAGAAGAATTGGAAATAGTGAGGAAAGCCAACTCTTGAAGTTCCTGTAAAGAGAGGCAAAGAAATGAAATAGAAATAGGTAGGGAAAGTGGGGTCAAGCTAAGTGTTTATTGTTGGTGGTGGTGTTTGTGTTTGTTTGGGGTTGGGAGAAATAACAATGTGGTTGTGCACTGATGGAAATGATCTAGTAGAGAGGAACAGATGAGTGTTTTAAGAAAGATAGGAAGAATTACTTAAGCAATTCCATCGGGTTGGCAAATAGTGATAACATCTAGTGTTCAAGTGGAAGACTTGGCTTCAGAGAAATCAGATATTGTCCTCCGTGGTAACAGGCATGTTTAGGGTACTAATGCTGGTAGGGGAGGTAGATGTAGTGTTGAGGCCCTGTGTAAAATCCCTTCTGATTGCTTCAGTTTTCTCCAAGAAATAAGAACCAACATTATCTCATAAAATATCAAAAATTATTCAAAAGAAAATAAAGCCCGGTTATATGCCTCTATAAATATTTATTGAAAAAATAAAACAAAGCCAAACACAATATAAAAAGTATGCTATAAATGTTTCATTTCAGGAGTTTTTCTAAATGGACTGCATTGACTGAGGTTTTTAAATAGAGATGTAATGTCCTTTCAACTAGGGGCTCTTCTTTCCCTGGTAAATGTCTCTGTATCAAGCATAGGCGTTCTTCATTGCTCTACTAACCTTCATATTAGAATTTAGGAATATTTGTGTAGAACATTTTAATTTGCCAACTCAATGTGCATGAATGTCTATAACATCTTTTAGATGGTAAACGTGAGTGGAATGATTTCCGTGAGAATTCTTCTACAATGATCTCTTGCTCTTCATTTCACCAAGATGGCTGACCTGTATCATCTTGTCTCTGTTGTCAGTTTGGCACTTTGTAGATACTGGCTGCAGTTCTTAAACAGATATTAATAGGAGTTTTGGCCGTTCTTATTTATGATAGGGTTGTAAACTTAATCAGAGATAGGAAGCACCTATATGATTAAAAAAAGGGAGATAGTGGGCCCTTTAATCTAAATTCTGTTCCCTCTCTGGGATAAAAAATGTCACTTTCTGGAGGATTGACATTGTATCTTAGTGCTTTGCTTGAATATAATTTGAAAAACAGAGTTCAGAAGGCATTGCATTAATGTTTTGCAATGATAATAAAACATACATAAGATGAATGTTGAAAAGCTACTTATTGGGGTTCTTCGTATTGGTGAACAAGTGAATCTGAAGCAAAAGAAGAATAACCACAGTGTTGAACTCATGGGGTTGTAGGGGAAATGAAATGAGATTACCCATGTAAAGTGCTTTTTACCATGCATGGCCCATGGTAAGTGTCCAATAAATTATTATAGTAGGTATAAGGTGATGGAGTTCCTTAGGAAAGATATAATAAAATTGTCAAAATTAAGGGACTATCTTAGTTAGCTGTGTTTTTTGTAGGAGAGAGGGTAGCAGGAGGTTACTATAGCCCAAATTACTTCATTGAGAAAGAACATTTAGCAGTAGAACCATATAAGGGCCAAGTAGACAAGAAACAATCATTCAGCTTTTATGCTCCCAGCACTATAGTAAGCATCTAATATGTATATTTTATTTAGTTTTTATGATAGACCTGCACAGTAAGTTGTATTAACCCAGTTGTATGGATGAGGAAATCGAGTTGAGGAGAAACGATTAAGTGTTACAATGGGAAAGCTCTCTGCAAATGGTTAAGTAATTTAAAAAACTGACCCTGTTTACTAAGCTGCCCATAAAAGAGCAAAATCCTCAGCAAGATCACGATGTGATTTGATTCCTAAGCCCCCAGTCTTCTTTCTACTATACAGGTTATTGAATTGCTCATCTAAATCCAACTCAAATTCAAATGCATGTTGCTGTCTTGGTCAGAACCAAGGAGTCAGCTTACTGTACTCTCTATTATCGGTTTCAGTTCATGCTTCCAAACATGTATGTAGAAATGGTTCATGCTTTGGTATTAACAAAGGCTGAAGACAAAAGGAAAATCTCACCTCCGTCCTATGAGAGAAAAAGCTCTTCCCATTCCTGAAAGCTATAATATAGTTTCTTTGAGATCTGGCTGTGTTTTAAACTCAAACTGGTATTGTTCTGGTTGATGAAAAAGAGAACATTCCCTCTCTCTTCCTACAGGAATGCCAAAATGAAAAAACAAAAAGTCCAATCTAGTTTTTAAAATTTTCTATTCAGAACAAAAGAAAATCAAGTAGAACAATAGTTTTCTCTTTTTTTTAAGGGGAAAATCAAATGGCAATAGCTTGGTTTTAACAGCTTTTTGGAGAATTCTAGGGATGTCACGCTCCCTTCATTCATGGTAATCAGTTGCTTAACACAGCAGCTCCATTTATGAATGAAGGAGAACAGTTTAGCTGACAGCAAAACTTAAAAATATAACATTCAGTTCATGAATGTTATGTAAATCGAACAAATTCATGCAATAATGAATACGTAAAATGTATTTTACACCTGAGTTTATTCCAGAACAAAAAAGAAATTAATACAAGCATTTTGAAAAAAAAGTTAATATGGAAATGTCAAATCTCCAGTTCTTAACTCTTTCAAATTTTTCTTCAGATGTGAAAATGTGAACTCTCCACTCAGTCTATAGTTGGCCACCTGAAATAGGAAAAATGATGCCAATGCATCAAAATGGTTTTTTCCTTTCTATAACCTGAGGTGAGGGGTGGGAAGTTCTCATTTGGGAAGGGACAGGAGAACTTGTGGGTTTCCATTATGAATTTAGTATGAGAATAACTATGTGCAAATATGTGAAGGATTTACACTTTTCAGTGGGGAAAAAAAAAAAAGTCATCCATGTCCACAAAGACTAATTTAGAACAAGAAAAACTAATGTTAGTTGTAGCACAGAGCTTAATGGCTAACAGGGTAATTAAAGATAGAAATTTGTTACTAAGAGGAATTGTGATTTTATTTTTTCCCTGAAGAAATTTAAAAATCTGCTTAGCCTCCATCTCCAATAACCTAGGTTCTCCTCCACCCAGAGACGGGCATCTGCACTGATGATTCTCATGGGTGTAGAGGATCCCACTAAAGTCTTCCCTTCTCCTCACCTCAGGACTTATTTATATAGTGTATGCATTTTATACTTTATGCTACAAGTGAAACTTGATTTCCCTTGTTTGACAATTTCTCATCGTCCAGTGGCCAGCTTTCTTGCTTCTTCTGGCTGATTGCAGAAGGACTGAAATGCCGCGAGAGAGGGAGAGAAGAAAGGAAGAGGGCAGAGACCCAACCCAGCTTCCTCCAGCTTTAGTCCACGTCACATGAGGAGTCTGTAACTCATCCCTGAGTTCCCCCACACCCCAGCAACTTCCGTGAAACCACAGCCCCCCAAATGCATGGCTGATCATTTTCTTTAGTGGTGCAATCATGTTCTGTGATTACACGGAATGCTGATTTTATTCAAGTTCTTTCAACAAACTCATCTGAGTGTTGCTGCCCCTTGTCAAGTGCTGAGTCACTCTCAGTGCTTCATGGCATTCTGCAAATACCTCATCCTTCCTTACTTTCCTTTTTTTTTTTTCGTCTTCCTTTTGTGTAGTTTAGAACAAGTCCTCCTTTTTTTCCCAACAGGCTTGTCTTTGGAAAGGATTGAGAAGAGCCAGTAAACTTGGCTTCCTCACTTCTGCTTCTCATGTGAGTATAATTTATATTTCTAACTGTTATGCAAGTGTCATTAAGGCAGTGTAGCTCCCCAGGTTTCTGTGGAAGAACTGCCTTGTTTGATCTTTGTGATGCTGGCACTCTTTTAGAATTAACCGTGGAAAAACTTGATGACACTTCATGCTTCTTGTAAAATTCATCTTCGGGGTAATTTTACAGTGTGTGTTTTCCCCCTTGAATGTTTTAAAGAGCTGGATATCTGTCTCTTTGCAGAGCATTCTAGCAGCTGTGTCTCATTTGCTTTGCAAGGGCATTGGAAGAAATTGCTATTTTGGAAGCTCCTTAACATATGGGATAATTGTACAAAGCACTTTACAGTTTGCAGAGTGCTTTCCCATTATTTTACCCAGTCATTTCTCACAGAAGCCCAGGATATATTATTTACTTCTTTCAGAAAGAGAAATAGAGGTACTGAAGAAATAATAGAAGCTTGGCAGGACAATTTCTCATTCTGGAATTAATCAATGGATTAAAATCTCTTCCTTCAGATCCTGTAATACCTATGCCAGAAAGCCTCATGCCTTTTGACCTAAACAGGTAGACCTACATACCCGCTGTGCATCTCAGGAATGTGTGGTCTATCCAGTCTTAGGTCTACCCTAACAGGGAGCTGTTTGAGTGATTGGACTTTGGGAACTGTGCTGTTTAGCTGCTTTTATTAAAAGTGATATAATGGATGGGTAAAAGCACTGTTTCTGGGGTCAGACTGCCTGGGTTTAAATCCAAGCTCCAACCTTTATCAGCTGCGTGACATTAGAAGAATCACTTAACCTTTCTCAGCCTTATTTTTGTTATCTGTAAAATGGGAGCATTAGTAGCTACTTCATGGAATTATTGTGAGGCTAAACTGACTGAATCCATGTCAAGCTTTAAGCACAGTGACGAGCACACAGTAAGCCCTCAGTGAATGTTAGCTGGCCAGCCCTAGTGGTCTAGTGGTTGAATTGGGTGCTCTCACCGCCAGGGCCTGGGTTCTTTTCCTGGTCGGGGAAACTTAGGGAACCCCACCACCTGTCTGTTGGTTGTCATGCTGTGGCAACTGCGTGTTGCTGTGATGCTGAATGCTATGTCACTGGTATTTCAAATACCAGCAGGGTCACCCATAGTGGACAGGTTTCCATGGAGTTTCCAGACTAAGACAGACTAGGAAGAAGGACCTGGCCACCCACTTCCGAAAAAATTGGCCATGAAAACTCTATGAATAGCAGCTGAATAGCAGCAGAGCATTGTCTGATACAGTGCCAGAAGATGAGATGATGGTACAAAAAGATTGCGCAGAGTTCTGCTCTGCCCTGCCCACACAGGGTCGCTAAGGAGTTGGAATCAACTTGACAGCACTAACAACAAGAAATCTTAGCTATTACCATGTTATGGTTCAAAAGGTAGCCACCTGGTCATTTTTCCTGAGCTTTGTTTAAGTTGGTTTGTTTCACGAAATTACACAGATGGCCCAGTCAAGACTGGAGATAGTTGGTGGTTTTAAGAGAGAGTTGATGGGTTAGTCCGAGATTATACTAGTATTTCTTCTGCTCTGAAGAGTTGTAATAATTACAATTTCTCAGTCTCTCTTGTCATTCTACTCTTTAAAACACAAAGTGTCAATGTTGTTCCTCCTGAATAATGTGGGATATCGACAAAGGGCCCTGTTCACTAGTACCCACGGGGTTTCAACCTAGCACTTTTGAAATGGTAGCACACACAAAAAAAGCAAAAGATGACGTTGGTTTTTTTTACAGTTTTAGGTGAAAGTAATAGTATAGAGGAAATAGTGGGAATATGCCTAGTTGTGAATGTGCTCTCCTTGGAATATAGAAGACTGAGTCCCACATCTGCTTCTAGTTTGCTGGGTAGACTGGGCAAAGCTCTTTGCTTCTCTGTACCGCAGTTTCCCCAATGGTAAATGGGAATTATAATACACATAGGATGATCAACTTGTCTCTTGTTTGCTGGGACTTTCCCATGGCAAGTACCATGTCCCAGGAACCTCCTGAGTCCCGGGAAAACCGGGATGGTTGGTCACCCTAAATATCCGTCTCTCATTTTACTGTGTTCACCATAAGGGCAATGGATATAAAGGGCCTTAGCCATTTCATGAACTGAAGAGTATAATCAACTCAATTCTGAACACCAAAGGTCCCAAAATAGTGCTTTGGATTATTGGAATAAAAACGTGGTAATACAGTATATCATGTCTTAAGTAAGAATATCACACTTGAATTCTTGGTGCATCATTTTATAAACTGCTTAGGAATATGTAATGTGACTGGCAAATTCCATTAATGGATTTGCTATGTCTTACACCATTCTTATATGTTTAAATACATGTAATTGAAAGTACGTACAAGCATATTCATACAGAACAGTTAGGACAAGTACATTCAGGTCGTGACAAAGACAATTTGCATTGGAAAGACCTCATTTGAAACGTCCTTAATTCCTGAAAAGTTCTGTTTTGCAACCAAGACATGTTTTTGAAAAGATTGTCATTTACAATAAATTGATTAGTGATTTCTCTTAGAAAACTTTGAAGGACGGGCCAGCCCCGTGGCGTATTGGTTAAGTACATGCGCTCTGCTGCTGGCAGCCCGGGGTTCATATCCGGGTGCCCACCGATGCACCGCTTGTCAGGCCATGCTGTGGCGGCATCCCATACAAAGTAGAGGAAGATAGGCACAGATGTTAGCCCAGGGCCAGTCTTCCTCAGCAAAAAGAGGAGGATTGGCATGGATGTTAGCTCAGGGCTGATCTTCCTCACAAAAATAAATAAATAAATAAACTTCGAAGGAAAACAAAATAGTTTGGGGAAAATGACATAACTGACCATGTATTTGGTATCTGAAAAATAAGTACACACCAGAGGATAATGGTCTATTGCTTGGAATTGACTTGAAGCAATATCAGTGTTCAATAGATGTGAAAAAATATCAACCAATGTGCACACTCAGGCGTTAGAGCTGTTTCCAAAACATGGTTCATTTAGTTTTCTTTCATATCATATAGAGATTGCACTTGAGTGGAATTTCAAAATGTACAAGCATGTATTCGCTTGAAAATTCAAAAAGTTTTTTGATTGACTTTTGTGTTTTACCTAGAGGCACACAACCAGAATTCAACAAAATTCAAGCCAATGTAAGATCTACAAATGCCAAAGTGAGGCTTCTTGTAGACATGCATAACAAGATAAATAATACATAAATAGTATGCATTAGTAAAAGCATAAAAATAATACATAAATAGTATGTATTAGTAAAAGCACAAAAACAAGCAAGTTCAGTCAAACTCAGTTTCTTACATTAATAGAGAAAGTAATATTTATTTTAAAAATCAGATTTTTAAAATATAACAGCTTGTTTTCTGCTTGGCTTTTAAAATGGAACATGTAAACCTCTGAGAAAATTTTAAGAGACTTGAAGACCTTGAACATGTCACGTACTTTTTCTTTATCTACCCCAGAGGATCTACTGAAGCCTTGGGCACGTGGTGGACACTCAATAAAATCTTGTTAACTTGTATTGAATGTTCTATATATTAATAATAATTCAAAATAACATAATGAAACCAGAGTGAAAAGGGCATGGTCTACCATTCCACATTCAACTTTTCCCCAAGGAATGAACTACTTTACCTCTCAGACAGAAGCAAAGAGCTCATTCAAAAGCAGAGCTGAAGGCTGTTGGAGTTATTGTTGTTTATATTTCCCTGGACAGAGGAGTAATTATGTTGGCTTCAAAGGCCTTTTCTTCTACCTTCCATCATGGCATGCCAGTGCAGGAAGAAACCTTCATTCTATTCCTCCATTTTACAGATGGAAACCCAGAGGAGGGAAAAATTTGCCCATGGTCACAGATTCAAACCTTCCCAGATATCTGTTAGTCTTCATTTAATTTTTTCAAATTTCACCAAATACAGCTGTGGGCAATTTTCTTGGCCCTCTTTTAGTTTAGGTGACTCCCTCATCTCTATGTCCTGCCCTCCCATCCATTGTTATTGCAATCCCACTGCTCCTTAAACAACTCACTTCCTTCTCTCATTTTCAAATGGCATTTTCTTTGCTCTCAGACAACACACTTGAACCTCCACTCCAAAGTCTCAAGCTAAAGGAATCTTCTAGATTACTCAAAGTGCTATATAAATATAAGAGCCATTCCTGCATTTCTTCTTAGGCCTGCAGCCTTCGGTATAGTGACTGCATAGCTCTGGGCTTGCACTGATTTCTCTCAGGCTTCAGTAATATGAGTCAAGGCTTTGCTTTAAGGTTAATTTAGCTGATGATAAGAGCAAGCTGAAACTTGTGAGGATAGACAGAAGCTGGAACAAACCGAGGTCATAGCTTGAACAGAACCTCTGAGAAGATGGATTGCCTGTGGCTCTTAGAGCATCCTTCCTCTGACCGTAGTGATGCAGACTGAAAGTAGAAAAATGACAGTCTGCTTTAAGGAGCATATGAGGGGACAAAGATTTTTCAAAACTCAGCCCCACAGAGAAGAAATCTGCTTGATATTTATTTAGGCCCCTGCCTTTTAAATCTTCATTACCCTTGGCTCAGTTAGGTGCTGAAATTTATGCGTCAGCGACAGGTGATTCTTATATAAGAATGGAATCTCGGGTGTGATAAATTTGGTCTTGAGAAATCTCAGCTCAGTCATTGCAGATGGTAGTGTCATGATGGCAGAGTTAGAGAGTGGCGTCCTGTAGGGCTGTGGGCTGTCTGTGAAATGGCTACTCATTTCAGAACTATCTGAGCCAATTCTTTGAGCCTCAAGGTCACGACCAAGGGGCACAGCCCAACAGTTGGGTTCACATTCATTCTAGCAACATTCTTTCCTACTCAGACACTGCTGCTGACTCACTCCCATTCAAATGGCCAGCAAGAGTCAGGTTGTAACCTATGTTCTTTGTGAATATCTTTATAATTTGGGGTCTCTGTCTATCATGACTAGCCCCTGTAGGGGTGAATTCTATGCTTGTAAAGA